GGGGTTGTAATATTGATTGGGGTTTCAATTACATCAGAAAAGAAGATGATATCTTAGAAGGCTCCTCAAATAAATTCATATGGGTAGAACTTAAAAATCAAAATAGAGCGATCACATTGCTGGGAGTGTACCACAGGCCCCCTAATGGCTTGAGAGAATTAGAAGAACAGGTATGTAGGCAAATTTCAAAGAAATGTAAGCATAAAATGGGGGATTTCAACTTTTCTAATATTAACTGGTATAGTCACAATGTGAAATGTTTAGAGGGAACAGAATTTGTAAAAACAGAACTTTATAAACCAGTGTGGAGAAGAGCATGGTCCTGGACTTAATTTTGGGTAATGAAACCTGGCAAGCAGCCTGGGGAAGAATTTTGCAGACAACAATTATAACTCCATTAGATTTAAGACTTATCGAAAAGGACAAAGATGGACCAGAAATCAAATTTCTAAACCGGGGAGAGGCTGATTTTACTAAAATCAGATAAGACTTGTCCAGAGTGGACTGGGAGCAGGCAATTTTAGGTAAATCTGTGTCAGAGCAGTGAGATGTATTCAAGAAGCCAATAGGAAGACTACAAGACAACATGTTCCAAAAGACAACACCAACAAATCCAGTGAACCATGAATATCAAGAGATATAGAGAATTGGATAAAGAGGAGAAGGGATGCTTATGGCAGATACCGAGGGCTCAAAATAGCAGAAGCCCTTGAAGAGGACAGAATGTCCAAGGGAGAACTTAAAAAGGAAATTAGAAGAGCAAAAAGGGGGCATGAAAGGATAATGACAGGTAAAATAAAGGAAAATATTAGTTATTTTGTAAGTACTTTAAGGGTAAAAGGATAGGGAGGGAAAGAGTAGAGCCCATTAAGGACCATAGTGGTAATTTGTTCTTGACGCTAGATGACATAGATAAGGTTCTAAATGAAAACTTTGTGTCAGTGTTCACTAGTGAGAGTGACAATAGGAGAAGATATACTGAAATAAATTAACACAGATGGAGAGGAGGTTCTGAGTGGTCTGGCAGCCTTAAAAGTAAAGAAATCTCTAGGATTGTATGAAATGTGTTTCATGAATGAGGCAAGGGAGAAAATAGCAGGGATGCTATTCCTTTCTGCCTACAGGAGAGATGCCAGAGGACTGGAGGGAAGCCAATATGCTACCACTATTCAAGAAAAGAGGAAGGATTAACCGGTCAGTCATCAGAATTCTGATGATTCTGTGATTCAACATTGTGAATACATTACAGTGACACCAACTGCTCCTCAAGCTCGCAAACCTGGAGTTCGAGTTGCTGCGGCTGACAATACAGGCTAATAGAACAATTACAGCACAAAAGGAAGCCATTTGACCCTCATGTCCGCACTGGCTTTCTGGTTGAGCAATTCGTTTGGTGCTATTATGCAGAATTACAGAGAGAAGATGGGACATTGTTCAGTTTCAGATAACCGTCTAATTCCCTTCTGAATATGTCAACTGAACATGCCTCCACCGCATGGAGGCAATGCGTACTATACATTAACTACTGTCTGCATGAAGAGGATTCTTCTCATGCTGTAGTTGCTTCTTTTGCCAATTACTTCAAATTACTTTTGTTTTGATACCTTTACAAATGTGAAAAGTTTATGTCTATTTACTTCATCTAGATCCTCATGATTTTAGCTATATTTGGGTCTCAGGAAACATCTTGGAGTTCCCATATGGAACAGGATGTACACTTCAAATCTCAGAGCTGCCTTGTCATTCCTTTATTTATTGAATAATAAAATATATTCTGAAAGAATGAACACTGAACAACTACTCAATTCCATTCATCTGTTGTCACTTAATATAAAGATGACAATTTAAATAAAATAACTCTAATCATCTGAGAAATTACTAATTTTCTAATGTTGGAGAAAGGGAAACAAAGGTATAATACTCAACAGCCAATCAACCCACATCTTTGCTGTTATACCACAATTTGATTTATTTTCTCACTTCAGTGATTCTGACTGAAACACTCCTCCTGATTAACTTCAGCCATCCTGACCCAGTCTGCTTCACAATGACCCTGACCTGCTTCAAGCAAGTACACCTATTTCAGAGAGAACACTGTAACAAGCCTTCCTAGCTGTTCATAAATTCTGGAGCAGTAAATAGCACAGAAAATACCGGGGTGGCATGGTGGCTCAGTAGTCAGCACTGCTGCCTCACAGCGCGAGGGACGTGGGTTTGATTCTACCCTCGGGTGACTGTCTGTGTGGAGTTTGCATGTTCTCCTTGTTTCTCCCCAGGTGCTCCTGTTTCCTCCCACAGTCTAAAGATGCGCGGGTTAGGTGGATTGGCTCTGCTAAATTGCCCATAGTGTCCAGGGATGGGCAGTCTAGATGGGTTAGCTACGGGAAATGCAGGGTTACAGTGATTGGGTGGGATGCTCTTTGGAGGTTGGTGTGGTCTTGATGGGCTGAATGGCCTGATTCCACACTGTAAAGATTCTATAATTTAAAGATAGTCCCAGCTAAATAAGAAAGAATTGTAGTTTGAGGAGGCAACAATGCAGTTGTGGAGCATTAAGTCGAACTACATCTCAATGAATAACCTTGCATTTAAATATCTTACCTTAATTTTTTTTAGATTTCACCACCGTTACTGAGAAGTTAGGTAATACAATTGTGGAGAAGTTAGGTAATACAATTTAAATGTGTACAGCATATTCTTAATCATGACATTGGATCAAAATTTTGCGTTCTGCCCAAGTGGAAGAATTTTCTTAGTTGGTGAGATACAAACCAAAAAGAGATTTGCACAAATGAACAAGGATGATGCCAAACACTTATTTCTTATGAAAATTGTTTCCAGAATGTAGATAGTGGTTTGACAACGAACTAATGTTGCCAGTGGAACCTATTCTGAATTGGTAGACTTTGTATAGAATGTACAGAATTTATGAGTAAAAGCGTTTATGAGTTTACCAGAGACTTGGACATATAAAAACCATAAAAAGGGCTCCAGTTATTCCACAGGGCAGAAATTATAGTCATACAGCATGGAACAGGCCCTTTGGCTCAATTCATCCATGTGACCAGGTTTCCTAAACTGAACTAGTCCCATATCCCTCTAAACCTTTCCAATTCATGCACCTGCCCAAATATTGTAATTGTACCCGCTTCTACAATTTCCTCTGGCAGCTCGTTCGGTATATGCACTACCCTTTGTGTGAAGAAATTGCCCCTCAGGTCCCTTTTTAAGTCTTTTCCTCACCTTAAACCAATGCTCCCTAGTTTTGGACTTCCCCTACCCTGGGGAAAAGACCTTGGCTATTCACATTATCTATGTCCTGTGATTTTATAAACCTCTAAAAGGTCAGTCCTCTATGCTCCAGGGAAAAAAAAAGTTCCAGCCTATCCCTATAACTCAAACTCTCCAGACTTGGTAATTTCCTTTTAAGTCTTTTTTGTACCCTTTCCAGTTTAATAACATCCTTTCTCTGGCTGGGCAACCAGAATTGTACGCAATACTCCAAAGGTGGCTTTACCAATGTACATGACGTTCTAACTCCTATATTCAATGCTCTGACCGATGAAGGTAAGCGTGTCTTCTTCGCCACCGTTACCCTGTTTCCCTGTGATGCCCCTTTCAAGAAATTTGTACCTGCACCCCGGTCTCTGTTCGACAACAATCCACGGGACCCTACCATTTGTGGTATACGTCCTACCCTGGTTTGTCTTACCAAAACGGAATTACTGGAATATACTTTGTGTTGAACTAGTCTAAGCATGTCATCTATTACAAATAAAAGCGTGGTGTACGTTTTGGTCGGAGTTCAGAAAGAGTTGTCTTTTGGCTGAATTCATTGATGCAGGTAGTGCTGGAACGCGGCAGTTCTCTGCACAGACCAACCTCTGCCACGAGATGGAGTCTGATCAGTGTAAAATAATACAAAATAAAGTTTAAAAAAAGTACCATGTTATATTTTATATTTAATTATGTCGTTTATTGTTTCCGTTATTCTAGTTAGCAATACACTGTATTGAACGTGTCGAACTGTGGCAATAAACCGTCCAAAGGAACCTACATCGAGTTTCAACATTTGATTCCTCATTGGAATCAATTAATTAAATAAAAAAAGTAGCGTTGATAGAAACGGAACTACGACTTGCCTAAATATACTATTACAATGGTAGCTATAAATGAGAACAAAAAAGATATGATGAGGCTCCAGCGTGGAGCAACAACACTATCATGGATAAATTGGGCTAAATTTCCAGTTTTTGTGCCTATCATGCATGCTAACCATGCATACAAACAAGAGCTGCTTATTTCGTTTTACCATACACAGCAGGTCAAACAGCATCAGAGGAGCAGGACGGCTGACGTTTCCGGCCTAGACCCTTCTTCAGAAATGGGGGAGGGGGGTTCTGAAATAAATAGGGAGAGAGGGGGAGGCGGATAGAAGAGAGGAAACAGGCAGGTTACAGAGGCGGGGATGGAGCCAGTAGAGGTGAGTGTAGGAAGGAAGGAAGGGAGGGTCAAGGGGGCAGGATGAGGTGGGTGGAAGGACAGGTTAGGGAGGCGGGGACGAGCTGGACTGGTTTTGGGATGCGGCAGGGGGAGGGGAGATTTTGAAGCTTGTGAAGTCCACATTGATACCATTGGGCTACAGGGTTCCCAAGCGGAATATGAGTTGCTGTTCCTGTAATCTTCGGGTAGCATCATTGTGGCACTGCAGGAGACCCAGGATGGACATGTCGTTTGAGGAATGGGAGGGGGAGTTGAAATGATTCGCGACTGGGAGGTGCAGTTGTTTAGTGCGAACCGAGCGTAGGTGTTCTGCAAAGCGGTCCCCAAGCCTCCGCTTTAATAGGACATTTTGATTAACACACTAAATTGCAATCTGGCCTGTTAAAAACTGCTGTTTCTGTTTAATGTTTAAAAAGATACAGCGACCTCCCAGAGCCCGTCGTCCTACTCGGACTGGAAACATTAACTCTGCTTTCTCGCTACAGAAGCTGTCATACCTGCTGAGTTTCTCCAGGAGAAACTCTTAGTTACATCAGGAGACCATCCACTGGCACATTTCCGAAACGAAATCATCTTGAAAGTAAGAATATTAAATGAACTGCCAGCGGTAATGACACCTATAATGCCCCTTTAACAGGCAGGGAGAGCTCTTTCCCCCAGGCCCTATTCTCGGGAGGAATGGGGGTGGGGGGAAGGTTAGATTACTGGTAGGCCCCAGCCTCGGCTTGGGGAGAAGAGGCGGTGTTTAGAAGGAGGAGGAGGCAGGGGGTGCGCTGCCCGGCGTAACAGCTGGGCGGTATTCGCGCTCTCCGCTACGTTGATGCCCTGCTTTGCTCTCCGTTCCGTACTCCGCTCTCGCTCTGGCCTCACGGACACTGAGATTGCAGGATTGTTTGGAAATTTGGTTTTTAATCCGGTGGATGAATTATTAGTATAAACTTCAAAGCCCATCAAAAACCAGACAACGATACGTCGAGCGTCTGTGGATTGTAATTTTGAGTTTTTTTCCTCCCCAAGTCTGGAAACTGCGTAGCCAGCTGAACGATTCCTGTCCTGCGCTGCAGCTCTGTTGCTTGTTTTCTTTTCCATCTGTCTGGAATTTGGGATGGTGTGGTGGGCTGTGATGATATAGTATGAAGTCTGGAGGATGGGAGCGAATAATGGCAAACAGTGCGGCAGTGAGGGTAAGTTTCATATAGTGAACCTCTATAGACAGAGAAAATAAAAATTCACATGAGGAAAGACGCGACCAACCCCGTTTTTAACATTTCCCTTGAACGCCTGTCGGGACCCCGGGCATACCTTATAAAATTGCTTATTATTTATTATTACTTATAATAAGTTACTTATCCGTGCATGGTGTAGTTCATTTAGACGGTTTTTGGCATACGCTGTTCGTCTTCGTTTGATTCCAAAACTGGCTGGCTCGAGTGAAACATGAAGCGAAAATGACATAATTGGCGTCAAAATAACGGAGGACAGTAAAACTAGGAGAGCAACATAAATACTGTTTTGCCATTCGCACCCATGCATTGTTGGAGTCGACGACTAATATTTGCTTAGGTGATGTGTATTTTCACAACTTTTTACGTTTTGTAGGTTTAATATTTAGTAAAAACTCTCCACCATTTAAAATGAATTAAAATACGACATCTTATATATTGTTACTTGAACAATTCAAAACATTTTTGGGCCAATTTTAAAAAAAATCACAAGACCTATCGTTCTCAAGATTTAAAGGTGCGAATATCACACTTGAATTGCACAATTTCAGTTGTTTCTTAAAATGTTTAGTGCAACCATTCGGGTTGCTCTAGTTCATTCTAACTCTAGATTTTTGAATTTAGTTTTGACAGTTAAATAGTAACGAAATATTTCTGCAGGATGACAGGGGCGGTGTAGTCACTTACTGCCATTTATAATGGAACTGTTGGTATTATCTGGATGGGTATGTGAACAGGAAAAATTTAGTGGGATATCGCCCAAATGATGGCAACTGCGATGAGATTAATTTTTAGGATATCTGGTCAGCATGGACGAGTTGGACGGAAGGGCCTGTTTCCGTGCTGTATGGCTCTATGACTCTCTGATTCTATCACCAGAAAAGGACTTTTGATTCTTTGGCATATCTCTATCCCTTTGATACATCCAAAATCGAGGGAGGAAAAAAAATGGAAATTGAAGGCATGAGAACGTAAACAATGCATTCACAAAACGACTTGGAACATCATTATAAGGAAGAATGAAAAATGGCAAAATATAATTTAACTTGCTTTAACATGTAACAAAACGTAGATAATTTAGAGAATGTGTGGTAGAAAAGGAAGTTATAATGAAAGTAGCTTATCGGATATTAGGATTTCAAACATAGCTCAGCATAAATGAAAATTAATACAGGAACTTTTTCTGATTGAAAGGTCTAGGCCTGAAACGTCAGCCTCTCTGCTCCTATGATGCTGCTTGGCCTGCTGTGTTCATCCAGCCCTGCACCTTGTTGTCTCGGATTCTCCAACATCTGCAGTTCCTACTATCTCTAATACAGGAACAATCTTGCACAGCATTCAAAATCCAATGCCTGAATTCCCAGTAACCACAACACAAGACCTGGGGCACACCTTTGTAAAGTCTACCTTTTTGATTTATCAAGCTTAGCACTAGGACAAATTCCTGCCATGTATGAGACAATTTTCTAGAAGAAGATATTGAAGAGCCCAACAGGGTAATAGACTAAAATAAATGGAGAATGCTGGAGAAATTCAGCAGTTCTGGCCAGACCTGCTAAGTTTCTCCAACATTCGTTCTTTAAGGTTTCCAGCATACGCAGTATTTTGCCTTTATTCAAGATCACAGTTCTTTGTTCTTTTTACGTGTTTTTCGAATGTTGAGTGACTTGGATGATATAGATGTGTGCAAACTTTATTGGTTCAGAGCATCATCACAGAACTAGATAACACAAATTAAAATTAATGAACTGCAAGTGAAGCCATTGATTTAGAATCCGATTTCTTCTCTTCAAGGATGATGAATACATGCAACTAATTCCTACAGAAAATAACTGAGATTGAGTCAGTTAACTGCTTGAAAATGGAATCCGAATGGCTGTTTAGGGATAGGTTTTGAAGGTTCAGACTTTTTTCACTGGAGTGTATGAGGTTGAGGGGTGATCTTATAAAGGTTGAAAAATCATGAGGGGCATATATAAGGTGAATAGGAAGGTTTTTTTCCTGGGAGTTGGGCTGGGGAGTCTGAAACTAGAGGATATAATTTTAAGGTGAGAGCAGAAAGATTTGGAAGGGACCTAAGGGGCAACTCTTTCTCAAAGGGTTGTTCACATGTGGAATGAACTGCCAGAGGAAGTGGCAGAAGTAAGTACAGTTACAATATGTAAAAGACATTTGCACAAGTACGTGAATAGGAAAGGTTTAGAGAGATATGGGCCAAACGCAGGCAAATGAGACTAGTTTAGTTTGGGAAACTTGGTTGGCATAGACAGGTTGGACTGAAAGGTCTGTTTCTGTGCTGTATGACTCTGACTCTAATTTGGATCTAGTAATATATGCAATAAAAACAGCTAATTAACATGGTCTTCGCTACGTCGGTGAGACCAAACGTAGACTAAGTGACTGTTTGTTTCACCGAGCGTCTCTGCCTGGCCTGTAACGGTCAACCTGACCCTCCCGGTCACTGCCCATTTCAACTCACCGCCCCACACCCCCTCTGACATGTCCGTCCTCGGCCTCCTCCAGCGTTGCAGTGACTCAGAATGCAGAACAACACATTATCTTCCACCTGGGCACCCTGCAGCCTGGAGGACTCAACATTGAGTTCTCCAATCAAATAACCTTCCCACCATACCCCCGTTTCTCTTCCATTCCACCTTCTGACCCTCCCTCCCATCCACCAACCAGATTCATTCCTCCCATAAACCAACCAGTGTCCACCTATCACCACCATTCCGCCTTCACCGCGTTTCCCTCCCCCTCCCGGCAGCTTCCACTACCCCCATGTCCAGTCCTGAAGAAGGGTAATACCCAAAACGTTGACTACTCCTTTCCTCCAGATGCTGCCTGGCCTGCTGTGTTCTTCCACCGTCCTGTTTATCTACCTTCGATTCCAGCATCTGCAGTTTTTTTTTTTGGTCTCTAATTAATGATCTTGTTGTAAAGGAACCTTTGGTGAACTGTGTCCACGGTATGATAGAACTTCCCATTTTAGTTTGAAAAATAGGTATTTCAATCTGAAACTAGGTTTTTTAACCTAAGCAATAAAGGAAACCATAAGTGACAAGTACATTGTGCTTGACTGGGGAAAATGCATTAAAAGATATGACAGGCCATGGCTAGTATTTAAAGAATTAATACATAGTTTAGAACAAATATTTAAGACTTCAATGTTTCCTGTCTGTTAGCCATGGTTGATTAAAGCACAAAGAAAGGAGGAAGGTCATAATGCTGCCAAAAACATAGTACATTTGAGGATTGGGAGCATTTTAGAATTCAAAGGCTGACTAAGAGGCTGCTTAAAAAAGACTAGAACATGAATGTAAACTAGCAAGAATCATTTTAATAAAAAAAAAGCTTTTAGGTATGTAAAAATTAAAAGCCTGCCAAAGACCAATGTGAGTTCCTTGCAGGAAGGGACAGGAGAATTCGTAATGAGAAACGGTAGAAAAGCCAAGCAGTTACCTTGTATTTGTATTCATGATGGAAAAATGCAACAAATCTCCTACAAATAAGAGATCCAAAGAATAGTGAGAATGGGGATGTACTCATTAGTATGAGTTTAAAAAGTAGTACTGGACAAATTAACGGGACTGAAAGTTAACAAATCCTTTGGACCCTTTGATCTATGTCCTGAACATATCCTGATCTATATCAGGAACAGAAGAGCTGGAGTCGGCCATTCAGCCCCTTGAGGCTGCTCCACCACTGTAAAACAAGGCTGATTGTATATTTTACATTATATTCCTGTTCTATCTCCGTGGGAGGGGGAAGTCGGCAGTGGTGGGTTCCTTTGCTGAATTGGTGGTCCCATGAGGTGACAGCGGCAGCAACATAAGCCAGAACGAGGCACCAGCTTGTTTGGCACAGTGCGCCCAGCGTCGTGTTTCCATACACGCCTAGAATTCATACACGGAGACTTGAACCAATATTCCCTAATAATGCCTTTCTGACAATACAGTTCCATGATATGTGTGTCATAGTAAGGTACTAAATAGCAATGATAAGACCAGAAACAAAACTTATTTACTAATTCTCAGGAGAACTACTCAGAAGGGAATTCTGTTTGCCAATCTCCCAAATTTGTCTTATAGAGTCATAGTCTTATGTCTGCTATATCTCCACCCCCACCCCCCCCCCCCCCGACCACCACTCCCCAAACATCCCCCTCACTTTGTTTTGTTACCCCCCACCCCTGCTCTTTCCCCTGCTCCTACTGTTGCATAAGCTAGCTCATTAAGGCTCTTTATTGAATGAAAGTTAAATTATTCAGTTTCCTCTTGCTGGAGGAAAGCAGGCAAAATGAGCTTGTGCCTTTGCTGGGGTGCCAGGCTTTCCTGTTCTACAGGATGCTTAGGATGCAAGCACCTTGCCTTGTTAGCATTACATATCAACTCTGCCTTATACTAGACCTGGAAAGGATTCAATTTCCTGAGACTCTAGCTGGTTTTTGACCACGGGCTCCACTCCATGAGGCCACTGATCAGCATCCTGCAGCTTCTCAGATAGCGGATGCACTGCTTCTAATCTTTCAGGAACCTTTAGAGTCTGGAGAAGTCCCAAGGATTGGAAAACTGCCAAAGAACAGCTGACCATAGGTCAGTTAACCTAGTATGTTATTTGGGAAAATGTTAGATTCTATTATAGAAGTTAGAACAGTGGAGCATTTTGTAATACATAATATGACCAAGGAGAGTCAGTATGACTTTGTGAAGTGGGAATCATGAATAAGAAACTTATTAGAAATTTTTAGCGGTAGTAAAAAGCACAATAGATAAATGCAAAGCATACAATGTAATATTTGGAATTTTCGAAGACACTTGATAAGGTACCACACATTAGGTGACTTAATAAGACAGGATTCCATGGTGTTGAAAGGATAGAGGATTAAGAATAAAGAACAAAGAAAATTACAGCACAGGAACAGGCCCTTCGGCCCTCCAAGCCTGCGCCGATCCAGATCC